CAAAGGAGTTCCTTTGAACGAAATCCCACGGGACATCACCGCAGCTATTATTACAGCCCGAAATCCTACGGCGATCGCAGCCAAACGTCTTGGCAACACCATGACAGTGATAGTCCTTTTTGACGGCAGCAGAATCCCGACGCACGTTATGTACAGAGGAGTGCTCACACGCTGTGCACTATACAGGCAACAAGTTGACTTTTGCAAACAATGCAACAGACTTGGGCACAGGAGTGACGTGTGTTGGAGGCCAAGCGACAAGCTATGTGCGGGTTGTGGAACGCCTGATCCGAGCGAGGACCACCACTGTCAGCCACGATGTCAGCTGTGCGGCAAGGATCATCCCACGGCTGACAAACTCTGCAAGGCCAAGTTCAAGACACCCGACATCGTAAAACAACGCCAGTGGTTCCGACAACTTCAAGAGACGCTCGAGGAGAACTACCCCCCTACCACCAAGCCAACCAAACGCGGGAGGTCCAAATTCCGAACTAGGGCAACGCCTTGGTCCAGATCAAGGTCCTGGTCCTGCGCAACGCCCCGCGGCCACATCGCCCAGTCTCCGGGACCGAGAAGGCGCACTACATCTCGTTCCAGATCCCGGTCGAAGCCAAAGGGTGGCAATGGCCACCAAGGGAACCCGGCATTCACGGTGAGCTGGTCAGACGTGGCTAAAGGGACGCGCTCTGAGCCTTCGGGGGAGACTGCGCATATTGTCAGTGATATAGCGGAGCAGAAAAAAGAAAACGCTGAGCTTAGAGAATTGATATCACAACTTACTCGGGAAAGTCAAAGTCTTAAAAACTGCACAAATAGAACTTCTAGTCAAATGCGTTCCGTGGCCCAAGAGCGCCTCAAAGAAATGCCAGATAACCAAATGGACGAGGACAGTACCCCGCCACCTTTTAAAAGAAAAGCTCAGGTGCCTAATGGCAAAACTACGGCGCAAACCTCGAACATTAATGAAACATTGTCCGAAATACAGAAAGCAGTTAAGGAACAGGCAGAGGCAACCAGCAACCTCTCGCTCGCAATATCCATGATCATGAATAGACTAGATAAACTCGAAGCTAACGTAGCCAATCTCAACCCTAGGACACCTCTGATACTTCCAGCTACCAACCTTCTGATGAGCACCGAAGGCAATTCACACTTATCTCAGGGCACCACATCAGTGGCTATATCAACTAATTTCATGAGGCCTGCCTCTTTTCACCCTCCTCCCTCTTCGATAGCCAACTCAAAATAGGGAAGCCCAGAAAAAGGGACTTAATTATTTGGTAGTGGAATTACAGGAGCTATGAGGGGAAGAGAGCAGTCCTGCAACAACACCTTAGAGACAGAACCAAACCGGGTGTTCTAATTTTGCAGGAAACACGTGGTTTAGCTAAGCTACCGCGATATCTGGCGATCGGCCCCTCAACAGGGCATATTAGAACACTAACCACTCTAGTAAGGAAGGGACTCGTAGCAATCTGCCACGACACCCGCATCACAGAAATTGAGCATATACTCGTACAACTTGCCCCTGCAAGGAAAAAATCTCCGAGCATATTTATTCTGAATTTGTACAGCAATCCCACACGCATACGACAACGATTCCTTCTTCTCTTTAAGAAGGCCGTAGATATAGCGGGACCCAATCCACTCGTCATAGGTGGAAACTTTAATGCTCCACACAGTCCTTGGGCATACGAATACACAAGAGCCAAAGGAAAAACGCTATGGCAGGATATTCAAGAAACAGGCTTAACTCTCATCACTGACCCCGACTCCCCTACGCGTATGAGAACTGGGCTTGCAAGAGACACCACTCCAGACTTGACGTTGGTTCGTAACGCGGAGACCGCTAAATGGAAAAACACATTCGATGATATTGGGAGTGATCATCGAATATTAGAAATCAAGATAGAAACCATGGTTGCCGCGAAAATTCAGAGACAGATTAGATGGACTGACTGGGAAAAGTTTCGGAAAGTCAGAAACGCAAAAAACAAGACCCTATCAGCAATATAGAAGATTGGAACAAAGATGTCAAAAACGACGTCAGCGAGGCAACTAGAAGTATCACTTCAAGTCCACCCCTGGAGCAGATTGATAGCCGTCTCGCACACATGTGGGAGGCCAAGCAATCACTGCAGAATAGATAGCGTGGGCAGAGGCACAACAGGCCCTTGCGCAAGCGCACAGCCAAGCTGAACAAACAGATCGAAGAACATTGTAAGCAGCTAAGCAAACAGCAGTGGGACCAAGTTTGTAATAGTCTCGATGGCCAAATGAATGCTGGTCAGACATGGCGCATGCTCAAACACCTGCTAGACCCAGATAACACCAAATCAGTACACAAGCAAACCTTGCGTAAACTAGTGCACCGGTATAACGGTAGTGAGGGGAGGACTTTATCGCTGAGGCTAGCAACACGTACATTCCCGCCATGCCTGTCATAGAGCACGGACCATATTCCGGAGGCCCGAACGAGCTCTTAGATGATTAGTTTACGGTGGCTGAAATCAGAGCTGCGCTACAGAAGCTAAACACCAAATGTGCACAGGGACCAGACGGGTTCACTAACAGAACACTACGGAACCTTGACGACCAAGCCATAGAGAACATCACGCAATATATTAACGAGTGCTGGACCGAGGGCACTATACCAAAACAGTGGAAAAAAGCTAAAGTAATCCTCATCCCCAAGCCCGGGAAACCCCCCGATCTATCGAATTTACGCCCCATATCACTAACGTCTTGTGCTGCGAAGCTGATGAAACACGCTTTTCTAGACAGAATCAACACTTACCTTGAGGAGAACGAAATCTACCCAGATTCTATGTTGGGGTTCCGCACACGGCTCTCCACGCAAGACGCCATGCTGCAAATTAAGCAGCAGATTCTAGACAACAAAACAAGAGCTACCTGGGCAATCTTAGGATTAGACCTTAAAAAAGCCTTCGACAAAGCATCGCATACGGCTATCTCACATCAGATCCGCCAATTAAGCTTAGGATCAAGAGCGTATAACTATGTCAAGGACTTTCTAACAGACAGAACGGCATCCATCGTAATGAGAGAACTCAGATCTGAAGAAAGGCTTATGGGCAGTGCTGGTACCCCACAGGGTTCGGTCATATCGCCAATGCTGTTTATTCTCATAATGATAGGACTCCCGACGCGGCTGAACTCAATATACGGAATATATCATTCTATATATGCAGATGATATCACCATCTGGGCGTGTGAAGGTAGTGACGGACAGATAGAGCAGAGGCTACAGGAGGCCGTCACCACTATTGAGGAGTATCTTGAAGGTACTGGCCTCGAGTGCTCGCCAGATAAATCCGAACTCCTCCTCTATCGCCCCACGCTTCAAGGCAGACCACCTAAGGGATACAACCGGGACCGTGCTTACGAAGAGATCCAAATTCCCACCAAAAACGGCAGCACTATTTCTATAGTGCAACAAATCAGAGTCCTTGGAGTCTTCATCGAGTCTAAGGGTACAAACGGTGAAACCGTCAAGAGGTTAGTAACCAAAGTCACTAACGCAATACGGCTAATCAAGAGTCACAAACACCAAGGCATGAAAGAGGCTAACGTCATCAGGCTTATTTATTCCTTCGCCATAAGTCACATAATATACGTAGCGGCATATCTAAACTGGTATACAGCCGAAAAACTCAAAATCAACGCACTCATACAAAAGACGTACAAACAAGCTTTGGGCCTTCCAGATAGCACCAGAAACGAAAAACTGTTTCAACTGGGCTTAGATAACACTTTAGAGGAGCTGATAGAAGCGCAACAGATTGCCCAGTTGGAGAGACTAGCCAGCACGCGCACAGGACGGTGTATCCTTGAAAAGTTGGGGATAAATTATCATAGCAACAAGGAAGTAAAGTGTCGGTTCCAAATGTGATCAGGGAAAAGATCCAGGTCCCCAATCTGCCCAAAAACATGCACCCCGAACTCAATCAGGGCAGAAGAGAAAGCCACGCTAGAACTCTACTTACGGCCTACGGCGGAGACAAGGAGGCGTTTTTCGTAGACGCAGCGGAGTACCCTAGTCACAAATTCTACATTGCGGCTGTAATAAACACCGACCGCAAATGCGTAAACGCGTGCTCCATACGCTCGGATAATTCAGAAATCGCGTAAGAGGTGGCTATTGCACAGGCCATAATTACCCCAAAGTGTAGGTATGTCATCAGCGACTCGCAGTCGGCAATCCGTAACTATGCACGAGGAAGAATATCTCCCGAGGCAGCCACCATACTCCTCCGCAAGGCAAATCTCATATCATCCGAGGAAATCGAAGAAAGGTGTATTATATGGTTCCCAGCCCACACCCCGTGTGCGTCCCTCATTCGCAACCTCAACGAGGAGGCTCACCGCGTAGCGCGAGGTCTCACTTACCGCACTCGCAATGGAGCTTCACATGAGGTACTGGGAGGAGATGAGTGGTGGGCGAGGGACAGATTGTTTAGGTTCTGCGACATTATCCAATTCTACCAAAAGTCGAGGCGCAGATTTCCACCACCTAGCTCCACATTAGACAGATCTCAGGAGGTTGACTGGAGGCGACTTCAAACTAGAACATTTCCCAACCCAAAGCACCTAAATCGCATCTACCCCGAACTATACCCAGATGACTCGTGTAAACTATGTAGCATGAGACGTGCCACCCTAGAGCATATGTTATGGGAATGCACACAGATACAGGACGCCAATGCAGTCTCCTCAGAACAGCTTGGGGCGTGGTGGAGAGCCGCGCTAATCAGCTCAGATCGAATTAATCAAATATGGGCCATCCAATGAGCACGGGAGGCGAATGAGAGACAGGGTCTCTTCACCACCCCTGGCGCGGCTTAGGCCCACGCCTCAATCCGCTGGTTAAATAAAGTTTGCTCACTCACTCAATTTCAGGTCGAGTGTTTCTATAGCGGGATATTGCAGCTGCTTACGCCATATATATTCAGTAAAGTTGATATGTCTTTTTTTTTCAGGTATTCTAAGAAAAACTGCCCTTTACCGCAACCCGAAAATGATCACCGAAGGCGTCAGATCTGTCGTATATGGAGACCCCGCCTTTCCACACCGGCCGCTGCGAAGCAAACCTTTTGGACGTACTTCTTTGCATGTTTTCAAAGTAAAATTAAGAGACCAACAACTGCCCAGAACATGAAATGAGAAGACTTCACGGATGTAAAGACTGTACCTCGTAGTGATTGAAACTAACAGTTTTTCTCGTGCGAAGGCGAGTTATATTTTCGTTTCTTCAAAGAAAATCGCGGAAATAGCCTGTGGCACCTCTGATGGCCAAAATTTTCAATCATCCCAGCTACCCTGTCACGGTACCGTAAAAACTGTACGCAGAAAACAATTTTGTTCTTAGTACTGACCTATTGTTTTCTTCGTTAGAGCAAAAATATTGCTCTATAAAAATTTTATCAAAGTCCTGCGTTAGTATTGTGCAATAAAGTGGCGTTGTCAATGCATAAGGTAATGATCTCCTGCTCGCTAGCGTGCTTTGAGCAAATTTTGTACATGCTCATGAAACAGTGCACCCAGTTTCCAGTTCGATAAGAATTCACAGTGCCGCGTTTTCTTTTGCCTACACATTGTCTCAAAAACGACTTGCAGTGGCGTTTTCAGTGACTGGACTTGGCTCGTGTGTCAAGAGAGTAGAATTGAGGGAAAAGCCATCCACGACGCAGGCGCATCAAGCTTGTGCGCAGGCGCACGCATCGCGGTACAAATGCAGGGAAGCTGTATAAACCCCGTCGTCTCAATAAAACGCCTTATTTTCTAAAATAGTTCTAAGGCTAAGAATGAGCGTCTTAGGCATAGTTACAGAAACTCCTGCGAAAGCAGAACAATTACTGTGGGGGATGCCTAGTCGGTGAAGGACGGATCCAAACATAAAACGTAGGGATGTTTATTAAAGTGGTAGCAACAGCAGCACAAGCGTGGCGATGCGGCGCTCGAAAGGTTAGAGAAACAATCATTAAACCAAGCTTGGTAGCTTGGGTTGTATATCCATCTGTGGGGACATCAGCTCTGGTGAAACAGTGGTGGCGCTGTCCGTTATCGGGCGTGCGTTGCAGCATGCGGCCAGTTCACGCTGGCTGCGCTGGTTTGTGCGTAGTGTGTCACCACCACAGCACGCCCAAGTGCTAGAAAGACCACCGGCATCGCCACCGATTCTCAGCAATGCTGCTTTAAAAGGAACGTTGGTGTTCGGAGCCTTTCAAATCGAAAACTACCGCTTATCAAATGTGCGTGCTTCTGGGAGCAGCTACAGCAGCGGCGAACACTGCGAAAGGTAAGTTTTTGGTCGCGTCGCAAAAAAAGATGGTCGAAAAAGATAATTTGTCGGTTCCTTGTATACGCGCGTGAGGTCATGCGGCAGGTCGTTGAGTGGGGCTTAGCAGAATCGTTGCGTACTTTGCCTTCGCTCTCTTCCATAAAAGTCAAGAGATGACTCGGCGGAAGGTGGGTAGGATGTACAAAGCTGCAACACTGTTCGCGAAATGCCGTACATGCATGTATGACAGCCTAGTGTCTACATATTTGATGCTTCTCCTCCCACCCTCAGAAAATACCATGCGTCATAAGAGATGCTGGCATAGAATATCTTGCAGTAGCTTAGATGCTCATGTTACCATTGAGAGAGGCTACGAGCTGTGACGAAGAAAAGGAATGTTCCAATTATTCTTAGCCCTTGCAAAAGCAGTTTTCTTTGAGATTATTAACTTCAAAGTCTTCTTCAGAATTTGTCCACTCCTGCATTCAGCGCTGTCTTGGCTAATACTAGTTCTGGAACGAGGTTCTTGGGAGGTCCTTCAGGAGATTCTATGTTTTTGCCTGAATGTGTTCAACTGAGCCAAAAGGTTTAAAACAAATTAACGTTCGGGAATAAGAAAAACTTCATAAAGCCACTCAGGTGAATAAGGTTGGTGCGGCGCTCTCTTGCATATAACGCCTCGTTCTGATTATGCCCTCGCCGAAACGTAAACAGCTACCATAATGGTGTGTTGAGTCATATATCATGAACGTTACACATTGACGTAAAGTTACCATGCAGTCAAGTTTTACGGTGTGACTGCAGCACTGCAGTGTGGGAACCCAAAGCCTAGTGGCTAAAAAGAGCTAATAATTAGACAGCGTCAGTAAAAATAGAACACCATGCACCAGCCTCCCTTCGTGCAAAAGTGGGCGGATCGTGGCCAGCCTACACAGGGGATGCATGCCGACATCTGTTTTGTGCGTGCCCCTTACGGCCAATGTTATTGAACTTGAAATGGTCTAGCTGAGCGACACAGCTCCTTTTGTTAAGTGGATAGTGTCTGTAGCTTGAAAACACCAATATACCATTAGCAAGTTCTCCTATACCAATAATAAGCATTCAGTTACCAGTGTAATGGTATGCTTTACTTTTGCGATTAGGCAATTTCTATTACAGATAGATAAAAATGTCGTTAGCCTTATTTTGTCCAAAAAGCATTTTTTACTCAATTATAAGTGTTAATGAACAGTCTGATCCCGCAGCACCCACTATAATACTGGTTTCGTTTATTTTAAAAAGACCCATTAGAACGGCTTCAATTTCTATCTTAACATACTTGTTTTTTTTTGGGGGGGGGGGGGGTTCGGGATTTTGGAGACTTGCACTGCACTGACTAGCACTCACTTTCTGGGTCAGAAGTGAACATACTCCTCACCACGCGTTACGGCAGGTTACAAGTCTAGCTTGTTTTTTAATTCTCTCAATAGGTCCACACGTGTGTGCTACTGTTTTCAGTCACCAGGCGCATCTTTTGAAACAACCTTTGTATAGATTTTTCTCGTGCAATTTGTCAGTTCCGGGAAAAGTCGCATCAACTTTACACATGTCGCGTTTTCATCGTCAACGTGAAGTTGTCCTGGTAACAATTTCGTAGTGTTATTGACAAAAGAAGACTAACATATGGTATGTAATATTGATTAGTGGGACCACTATTGAACGCAATTCAAAACAAGTCAATTTTAAAAGCGAATGCATTCCTCAGTCGGGCTATGTCAGGCGTCCGCGAGCCGGCTGGTGTTATCTCCCTGTTCTCACGCTCTCTCATAGCAACAGCTGTGGGCGCGCGCGCCTATGCTTCCCTTAGCAACCAAAGCAAGTGGCGTGGGTAGGGTAGCGGAGAGTGTGGGGAGAGACGGACCACGCTCTGGCGTGTCAGTGCGCTCGTATCGTGGGATCTCGGTGGTCCCACATGTGTGTACTTTGTGGGGGCAGAAATCATACTAGGTAGTTTTCGGTTCAGTTGTGTACAGACACGTGAAGCGGCATTTTTCATTCCTTGTGTTCACAATATTGGCAGTCACGCTGGCTCCATAAAATATGCTGTGTTTTTGAGATAACGTGTCACCGTTGGTGGCGCTATACCGGCAACCAATGGCGAAGCGTCACAGCAACGTTTCTGCATTCGCTGCTCTGTGACGCAGCGGCGTCATTTTCTCGAGGCAGAAACAAGCAGCTTGAAGGAGGTAATCTGACCGACGTATGATATTGATGTGAAAACACGTCTATTGTATCTTCCGAAGCCAGCGCTAAGACGCACGTAGGATGCGAGCAGCGCGACTCTTTATATAGCACCGCATCACGACGACCACTCCCTGAATTGAGGCGGACCAGCGTCTCCCGTTGAGAAGCCCGTGTTCGCACTGCCATTAGAATATAGGAGGCGTCGGTGTTGACTTGCCGCCAAAAAGTCAGGACAAGCGCGACTCTGTGTTTTTACTCTCGCTCTGGTAAACACGTGTTACTTTTGTTTTATAATTTATTAGAACGACGTTGTAATTTTGCCTCTTAAACTTATCCCTAAATTTTCAAACTAATAATTGTAAACGCTAGACCAACCTTATCCTGCGCTAAGCCACAAGAAAACCCTTACTGTTTGTTTACAACTAAAGGTTCAACTGTTGCTGAAAATCATGTCCTGGTTGGGGGTGCAACCAAGAAAACTTACCGCGATGGTTGCTCTATCAACTAACTTGAAAACTAGCAATTGGCAAGTCAGACCACACCAACACAATTTGCAAATAAATTCCGCGAAATACTGCAAGGTCGTGGAAAGAATAAGAAGGAAAATCGACAGCCATTTCTTTGTAGCTATCCCGTAGCTAACATACATGCCTTTTTTTTCTGGTAACTTTCCTACCCATTTCATCTCCCGCCAAACATGCCCTACCTGGCGAATATATGGGTTACATCACCAAATACGAGTAGTTTGCGAACTTAGCCACGTCACGATCCCTGTGCGAATACAGCAAAACATATTTTATATAATACCAAGCACTTGTTCGTAGCGCCTTGATTTGCGAAGTTTTTGTTTTTCACCTATCTTCGGAGTGTGACGGAAAACCACAAGATTTCATATTTTTTTAGGCAACATCATTGCAGGAAGTTCGGGCAGTGAGAGGTTCAACTTGCCACCTTGGACCCCAAGCCGGGATTAGCAATTCTCAGTCAAGTTAGGTGAACGGCGCCAGCCAGCTTGGCCCTAAGCTTGGACCCGCCACTAACACGCTCCTGTGTACGCGATGTTTATCCCTACCCCCAAACTTGTTTCGTTCTTTTTTCTTATAAACGAAAACTACTTTCTCTCTCTTTTAAAGGAAATATTGTGGGCAGTTAATATACCCATCATCTTCATCTGTACATTATCATCTTTATCATGAGGTGCTCATGCATCCTTATCGTTGTCGCGTAGCATTATCTTGGTTTGTCCATCGTAGCTGTCGGCTGCAGATCTCTCAGGCCTAATAAAGGTCTTCAGAGCCAAGACTTCAAACGTGGTGGAGGGTGTTCTGAGATCCCCCATCGTCCTCTTCACCACTCTACCCCCTGAAGCTACGTTCAGGTCACCGCTTGGGCCAGGTGTCCGCAAATATGCCGCACCAAGATGAGGTCCGTGCTGCAGCCGTTTCCACTCCGCCACCACGTGCCGTGCCTTCTCACGTCATTAACAGCCTTCAGCGTGAGCCTCATCCCTTCGCTGGTATGCGCGGGGAAGATGTAGAGGAATGGCTGGACGATTTCGAACTTTTCGGCGCTGCTAACTGGTAGGATAACACCTACAAACTCGCTCACGTCTTATTCTACCTCACGCGTGTCGCGAAGACGTGGTTTTTCGACCCCCTTATCAACATCCCCGACTGGTCAACCTTGAAAGAATCAGCTTCGCCA